CACCTTTGTGTCGCATTCACTAAACCTTTCACTTAACATCTTCCACTGAATCTAAGTAGGTAAATTTTCAACACTACCAGACACAGGCATTGGACTCACAGTTGCTAAGAAACCCTATTTATTTAGCAAATGTCCAGTAGGTCAAAATTATATTTCTTTTCTTTTCTTTTTTTAGCTAAAGTTCCCCATTACAAGATTCAGTAGATACTTAACATATAACGTTACTGAATGAGCCAAGTTCTAATTCCAATCGGGATCGTTACAGTCACTTACGCGCATATACCCTTGAGAAAGGTATGAATCCATTACCTCCCCTTAGCTATGGGTTAAATATTAGGGCCTGCATCTGTACAAATCATTATTCTCAAAAAAATTTTAATGCAATATTCACTCGCAATAAAAGAATTATTCTTACAATCTAAAATACGTTCCGGCTTTAAATAACACTCAAAGGGTTGATAAACCGTAAAAAACAAATCAATCGATCAATGAATCAACTGAATGAGTTAATTGGTATGGCGGTGAGAGGAAGAATTAGGAAGATTATGAGGATATGGAGGATAGATAACGATTGACGCTAGACTTGAAGAGGGTCTTGCAAAATGGTCGATGCATTCCTCGGCATTCTTCAGGCGTATATTCCGTGAAATAAACATAGTGTAGTGTTGCGGTTTGCTGACGAATGTACCTGCAATATCACGTTGAAACACCAGTTCTCTTTATGATCACTGAAGTTAAGCAACGTCGAGCCTAGTCATTACCTAGACGGGTGACCACTTGAAAATAAGCTCGGATGCGCGGGTGGTGAAAATAGATAACGGCTCGGAATTGGAAATCGGAGAGCCGAGTTCCAATTCCAGTTGGGGTTGTTATATTCGCTCATGAGCAACTACTCTTCGGAAAGGTATGAATCCACCTGTTTTCCGCCCCCAGCTATGAGTTAATTAGTAGAACTTGTATCAGTAAAATCTTTATTATTTCCAAAATCTTGTTACGATGTAAAAATATTTTCGGGCTTTAAATAACCGGCAAAATGTTGATAAGCCGAGCAAAATATGAAGCGGTTACAATATGTCGGCAATTTTCCGAATTTGAAAAGGGAAATGACCGCGAAAATAATTTATGTTAGATCAGTTAGATCAAGCATAGTATGGACTTCGTTAATTTTAAATTTCCTCTTCCAAGTTAGTCGTGACGTTTCAGGATTCTTTTAAAGTCATCTCCTTTCAGGACGTAGGCGATCATGATTCTCGACAGGTTCTTTTTCATTATTATCTATAAATTACTATATACTCTTGGGTAAGATAGTGGATTGGTCTTCCGTTACCTTCTCTAAGAATTCAGTTTACTTTCTTTTAAACTGGTTGCCACTCAAGGCTAGAGCGTATAATCTACTTTGCTATTTAAAACATAGAGAGAAGATAATAAGAGGATTCATACTTGTCCTAGGAAATAGTGCCATACGAAAATGAATACAATAGATTAACTCGGAAAACAGTTCGCCGTTTCCACTTTGCATGCCAATAACCATTAATAAACTGCACATCGGAATTTTTAAATTACATTTACAATATAAACATAATCAAATATAGAACAGTACCGCTATGAGTATTTATTTATTTTACATTGATGTTCAGCCTGTACAAACGGCGGGAGCCACTCGAGGTAGAGATTTACAGTGTAAGAAGCAAAGTTTATGCGGATATGTGCGGAAGATAACGGTTAGTCGAAGACTTGAACAGGTTAAGAATGTAAGTGATCACGGAGCCGATTCCACAGAGCAGCGGTTCGTGAGAAGAAGCTGCTGCTCGGGTGGAACTTATATCTCAATAATGGAATACGTAGGGAATGGGGTTGGTTGGCTATAATCTGGGTAGCATGGCTGGTTTTAGCCGTAAAGGTTAGAAGATTTTCCATGGAAATAGCGATAGGGCAGCGAGAGGTCTGTGAGAAAAACGGGCTGTAGGACGGGAACCAATTTGTCACCCACAAATAATGTAATTGCTAAATTCATGAAAAATAATTAAGAAAATTCATGTTTCAAGACAAACTTAAACAAAAAAAATCAAAATTTGAAAAAAATAATTAAAAAGACCACACTGTTCTTAATTCAACTGAAATTGCTTTAAATCTCTCTCTCTCTCTCTCTCTCTCTTTCTCTTGCTCGTTCTCTCTCTCTCTCTTTCTATCTCTCTTTTACTCTCTCTCTTTCTCTCTCGCTCTTTTTCTCTCTCTTTCTCTTGCTCTTTCTCTCTCTCTCTCTCTTTCTCTCGCTCATTCTCTCTTTCTCTCTCTCTTTCTCTTGCTCTTTGTCTCTCTTCATCTGTCTCTCTCTTTCTCTCTTTCTCTTGCTCTTTCTCTCTCTTTCTCTCTCTCTTTCTCTTGTTCTTTCTCTCTCTCTCTCTCTCTTGCTCTTTCTCTCTCCCTCTTTCACTTGCTCTTTCTCTCTCTATCTTTCTCACTCTCTCTCTCTCTCTCTCTTGCTCTCTCTCTCTTTCTCTTTTTCTCTCTCTTACTCTTTATTCACCCACACTATTCATTTAAAAAAAGCCATATTTAGGCAAGAGAAATGAAAAAGATCGTTTTTAAACGTCTCGAAATACTTTTTTTATATCTAAAAAACAACAGGTCTCACTCTCTTGTTGGTAAAAGTAGTAGTAAATGATTCTTAACTTACATTTTTATCTTAGATAAAGGCGGCATGGTTGGAACAATGGGAGGTGGTATGGCACTATTTCTTTATTCGGATTTTTAGTATCATTTTTTTTTACCTAGGAAATACCAAGTAACTTTTCTTAAGCTAATTTTCTTAAAGAGTTATAGACACACATACGCACACAAGATATGCGTATATGTACGTTTATATGCACTTTCAAGCATACCTACATTGTATGTACGAACGACACACACATGTTGTTTCAAAAACTCACACACATATATTAAAATATATGAAATTTTATGAAGAAAAATGCTTTTTTATTTACAGATATATATATATACAAAATAAAAAGGAGAACAAGAGTATTTTTCAATGTTTCTTTGCGTAAAGCACAGAGATAAGCAGTTGCGTAAAAACGAAGGATGTTTTCTCTACAAACTTAAAAAAAAAATAGATACCCGTATTTATTTTTCATGCTTACTCGTTTTTCTTCTGTATTTTCTGGATATCGTTTTTGCTTATATACAAGGTGACCCGACATTGCTAGATAAAAACCGGCTTTTGTCTGCCTATCCGACGCTTTCTTACTCCATACGTTCAGCCAAAATACGGCAGCGTAGAACGTCTTCATTTCCTGATTTAAATGAAAAACACATAAATTCAATAAACGTTTAAATTTTGAGTCTAAATAATAAATATATTATAACTCTACTATTACGAACTATTGTCATCATTTTTTTTTATAGATGTTATTGTCGACAAAACGTTTCGGCCGAGTAGGTACGGATAGAAAATGAGTTCAGCAGATATAAAAAAAAGATAGAAAAGAGGCGTAAGGTAAGATGTGTCTTTTCACCGGATTTATCCAACCTATACAGCGAGGCAACTCTGAGAGAATTGGTAATCCTACCAGGATTCATCATTGGCGGACACAATCTTAACAACATAAGATATGCAGATGACACAGTGCTGGTAGCAGACACGGAAAGGGAATTACAAAACCTCGTACAAAAGGCAGCGAGAAGAAGGAACTAAGGATAGAAGAAGACAGAATGGTTATCAGTAAAAAAAAAAAAAAATGAACCCGAAATGCGATTTTCAGATCAGGGTCACCAAAGTGTGACACTGAGATCCGAAGATGTAGTGGGATGGCCAAAGACGCATTCCAAAAGGTAGACTACTGAACTACTACGTGATATCTGTCCTCCTTTATGGCAGCAAATGCTAGACGGTCTCCTCAAAGATGAAGAAGAGACTCAAGGTAACATATGTATAGTTCAACAGAAGGATGCTAAGAATACCATGGGCTTAACATGTGAACAACAACAGGTTTTGTAGAGGATGCAAACGAGGAGGAAGCTTATACTTAACATCAGGAAGAGATAACTGAAATTTCTGGGAACGTAATAAGAAAGGAAGGCTTGGAGAATCGAATACTCATAGGGCAGATAGAGGGAAAGAGAGATAAGGGGAAGCAACGTGTGACATCCTTAGCGGACTTAAGCAAGTGGATGGCAGAACAGGTTCTGGGAGGAGTAGCAAAAGGACAAAACATATTAAAAACTACAAGGGATAGGGAGAAGTGGAGAGGCATGATCGCCTACGCCCTGAAGAGACACGGTACATAAAAAAGAAGGTATTTACCCCGGTCTCCCCACTGAGACAGGATGTGACACAAGGTCGGTTTTAACGCGGGGAACCCGAGCACAGCTCCCCCACCACCGTCGGTTGCGCTGGCCTACGTAGCAACTACCGAACCGCCTCTCTTTAATGCAATGTGGTGGTGGTGGGGGGCAGCCTCGGAAAGTAGTTCCTCGGGAGCGGGGAGTTCATAGTATTTATTTTCCGTTGCTGCGTCTTTGTCCGTGGATAGAGCTACAACTGAATCGCACTTTGCTCGAAGACAGAGACGCAACTGAGAGATGATAATCCCTACCCAGGCCATTATCAGCATTCTTACAAGTTCCATGTAACACACTGTATACCAGTCTTATGTTATCAGTTCTCCCATAAAGGGGAGCTGATTCTACACAAGCTTTCACCGTTACAAACACACCCTAAGATGATTGATTGATTTGTTTTTTTTTTTACGGTTTATCAACCTTTTACAGTTTATTTCAAGGCAAAAAATATTTTTTAGATTGTAAGAATTATTTTTTGGATAATAATAATTTAATGATATAAGTCTTAATAATTAACCCATAGCTGTGGGGAGAAGAGGTGGATTCCCAATGGTATTTGCACGTAAATGAATATAACGAACCCAAATGGAATTGGAACTCGTCCTTCCCATTAACAATTCCGACCCATTATCTATCACACCACCAACACATCCAAGCTTATAGTACCTGGTATTCCCAATCGATCACCCATATAGGTACAGACCAGGCTCGACGTTGCTTAACTTCGGTGATCATACGGGAATCGGTGTTTCAACGTCATATGACCGTAAATCTTATGACAGAAGAGAAGTCTGTTAGAACCCGTACCGAGGAAAACAATCACAGTCGTTAGTCATAAGATACCCCATGACGTAATTAGTAAGGTCAAATGTATTAGACTAATTCTCATTTAGAATTTCAAAGTCGTCTTCCTCATTGGATAATTTTTGAAAGGAAATTTGATTTAAAATCGTTTTCCCAACAAATCAAACATTTAAAACAGGCCTTTAAAAGCTAACGTCCAACGAGAATTGTCAACGCGAGCTTTGAAGAGTGAGAATTTAAATATGTCGCCTGCCCAGATTCTTGACACCATCAAAAATAAATAATATCAAGTTAAGAAAAACGGAGACAGTTTTTATAGTAACGACAGAATAAACAAACAAAAAAAGTTTTCGTTTAAGGTTTTTTTTTTTTTTCGCAACAAACACGATATCTTCTGGCTATTTCTTGCAGTTTTTCGGATTCCATTGCTCCAGGGTGAGAAAATTATTTGATCTTTTTTTAAGTCTGTAAAAAGATCTCCAACAAAACAAAAATGGAAAAGGAAGGCGTCTGTCAAATAAATTCTAACAAAAATGACAAAGAATAAACGTTACATAAAAATATTAGAAATTGTATTAAATTATATTAAAATTAGATAATTAAAAGTAAGCAATTCAAATTCAAACGGTTGAATATATATGTGTGTGTGTGTGTATGTGTTTAAAAATTCACATATAAAGAAATGAAAAATATATATATATATATATATATATATATATATATATATGTATGTATAAAGTATCGCACAATGGGTGCCGATGATAATAAAACACTGCTCGACACACACACATATATATATATGTGTCGTTAGCCAGGAAATGTTTTGTTAAACAGAATCGAAATGAATTTTTAAAATCTGTTTTTGTATATTTCCAATCATTTTCCTCGCTTCCTGTACATATTTAAATATAGTATTTTTAATGTTTAATTTTTATTTATTCATTTTATTCTATTTTATTTTTACTTTTATTTATTTTTTTATTTTTATTTTATTTTATTTATATTGTTTGTTTTATTTTGATATAATATTAAAATATAACATATGTTTATTTATTTATTTTACTTATTTTATTTTAATTTTATTTTTTATTTTTATCTGCATTTTTATTTTTATTTATTTTTTAAATTTATTTTAATGTAATATTTAAATATATCATTCTTAAACACAACATATTAAAGTATAACATATTCAAGTATAAATTTCCAATATTTGTGTACTTTCGGTTTTCGTAAGCCATTGTCAAAGATTTTTATTTTTGTACTATGTTGGTTTCATCATTTTAAATTATAGCGTCTTCAAGTGACAGTTGAATTATAGCGTATTCAAGCGTAATTTCTTTATCATTTATAAAAAAAATTATTATGTTTGTTCCTAAATTTGCTAACAGTTTCAGTTTTGTTTCTGTCAGATGTCATGAGAAGTGACCCAAACAAAACTGAAAATACCAGAGTTTTTTGGCATTGTGTCTTTTTTCCTCAATCTCTGACGAAGCTTTAATAAAAATGAAACATGTTAGATTGATATCAGTCAGTTATGTGCCATGCGGTATACACGCTTGGGCGATCATGCATCTTTCGATACATGACTGACGAGGCAGATTTCTTTCCCTCAGTAGGTTGCCATTTCTTTCTGCGATAGACCAGTTGCCATCCAAGGCTATAGAACCCAGTCTGTCCTGCTATTCACCCACAGCTAAGGGAAGAAAAAGAGGATTCATACCTTTCCCAAGGGTATTAGCACGTAAGTGAATGTAATGGATTCGACTGGAATTCGAACTCGGCTCTCCGATTCCTCAACCCGTGCCGCTATCCATTACTACGTTTCCTATTTGTTCTTTATTTTATCATGTTTATATGTATGTGTGTAGGCGTGTGTGTGTGTGTGTGTGTGTGTGTGTGGGCGCGCGCGTGGGGGGGCGTGTGTTAGTAGTGCCTTTTAGTTCGACATTATATTTATTACAATAAACGTTATTTTAATTCATACACGTGTTTGAGTAGATATGTCCGTTTTTATAGGGTTAAATTAATGTCTCTCGGCCTAAACATCAGAATATCTTCTTAAAGAAACGTACCTGTCGTTGGAATGCAAGTACGATTCTTGCAACGCCGTATATTTTTTAATATAACTTTCGTCATAAATCATCAAGGAGAATTATTAAATCACCTTTCATATCTTTTGTGGATTCCGGGTTGAAATCCGGTACCAATAAATAACAAACGCCAGGAATGAATATATGAAAATAATGTATTAACGTAATAATACAAACTGGTAAAGCAGGTTAGTAGTTCCGGGTTAGTAGCAAATATATATATATATATATATATATATATATATATATATAGTCTTTGGTATTGAAGTATCGCTGTATGACTTTTTACTGAGTCTACGTGCTCGCTCACTGTGATTTCTACAACGCTGTTACCTCACCCCTCACTCTTCCGGTTGCCTACAACCTTTTACTCTGTCGCTCTCGACTCGACTCTCCGGTCTTGCTCTCGTCTTACTCTCGGAGCTTCCCGTAGCAGTAGTATATGTATATACTGGGTGAGTCCATTTGTGTAAAAAGGGGTGGACCCCTTAACAATATCACAATTCATTTCTCTTAATCACAACGCGGGATTTATAACATAACACTTTTTTGATCTAAGATAATACTTAGATAAAATGATATTAAAATAAATACTGGTTAAAAATCTTAATAAATTTCATACTTTCCTCAAACCTATATCATAAACAATAATTTAAATCTAAATATTTACTATTTTATTTGACTATACATGTCTTATTTCCTTCACCGTAATTCCATTTCATTCGTTGTGTTTCCTATGTCAAATCATTATATTTACATTTTATATTAACCTATTTCCTTTGAACAAATCTCATTGATTCGTTCCCAGATATATTTGTAAGTTTTATTAACTGTTAAAATTTGACAAATTAACCACAGCGTTTTTAATCAACAGAGTAGAGACATTTCCTAAAATTTGTTCAGTTGTGTTTTGATAATGCTCTCGTAAAAGAAACGAAATGTCAACAAGTGAATAAACATTTTGTAAACATAAACACTTTGTTGCACCCACTCATTCCATCTTACATATTTTATTCAGATATTGCACATAAACCATGGGAAGATGATGAGACAAAGTGTAAAATCTATAATCGATGCGTTTCGCCGAGAGTGTCTGCTGTCTCTGGCTTCTTCAGGATAGAATGAAAGAAAGACAAAACTGTAAGTAAGACGATTCGTTTGAACACACACACACACACACACACACACATATATATATATATATATATATATATATATATATATATATATGTTCAATGTTTAACCGTAGGGTATCCAATGCTGATCTTCCCGTAAAAAGTATCATTGGTGGAATTGAGACTTTTCTGATGCAGTCACAACTTCACTGGGATCGTCATGTTTCAAGGATGAGTGATGACAGAATAACTAAGGTCCTCATGTATAGCCAGCTTCACAGAGAACAAAGTAATGTTGGACGGCCGTGGGTCAGGTATAAAGACAATCTAAAGCTACATTTGTTATAAGTTACTGTGTTGAGGTACAACGATGGCTTCTTGGTCATATGTTTGTTTGAACTTTTTACCTTATTTTCGTGTGAGGAACCCGCCCCCAAATTTTGTAAAAGTATTTGGTATGTATCCTATATATATATATATATATATATATATGTGTGTGTGTGTGTGTGTGTGTGTGTGTGTGTGTGTGTGTGTGTCCATATATATATATATATATATACTTATCCTTAATCCCAATTAATTTTCCCTTACATAAAGTTTTGTCTTTCTTTCATTCTTAAGTGCAGAAACCAGAGAAAGAGCGAGAAAGCTGATAATCTCGGCGAAACGTGTCGTTTATAAATTTTACATTTTGTCTCATAATTTTCACTTTTTTTGTTTCGGATGCCATTATACATCATAGAAACAAACATGCCAATCATATATATATATATATATATATATATATATATATATATATATATATATATATATATATACATACAGACTCTTACCTACAAATACAAGAAAAAATTATAGACAAATTTAAACCAGCCTAAACAAATCATAATCCCATGCACATAAACATACAACATACACACATAGTGGCAAAACACACTAGTCGGACTACCCACGCACACGAACTCTACACACTATACAAAGGTTGTATATATATATATATATATATATATATATATATATATATATATATATATATATCCATGTATTAAAATAATATACATAAGAAGGAATATATATATATATATATATATATATATATATATATATATATATATATATACGCATACTAGCAAAACACACACACACAATACATAAAAAATAGAGAAAGTTTTAAAAAGATACAGAAGACTTAAATAAAATACAAAAAAACAAAGACCTCATCCCTTCCCCTTTCTCTGGCCAATCCTAATTGTTCTATTACCCCTTAAGCAAATGAACATTTTTTTCCGCTAGTCCAAGCTGTGTTTGGATGACTATCACACACAAAAGACAATGGTTAAACATAAGAAAAAAATAATTCCTTTAAATAATATGTGGAAATAGCCATTATTCGCCTAATGAAGGACAAAAGACCTGAAACTCGTGTAGCAAAAATACGGATGATAACGTATAAAAAAAGTTAAACAAAAAAAAATATAATGTATATAAAAAAACAACCCACATTATAACTAAAAACGTTTGAGGCTTCTCTCTTTCTCTTTAAAATATACCATCTTAGTCTCATTGGAACAACTATAATCTCTGCCTTATATGTATAGAAATACAGAGGGAAATAAAAACCAACACGGCATGGTCATTGTCCGTTTCTCCCCTTAGGCAATCCTAAGACGATTCGGATTTTAATGAACATCTGACGTTGGCGAGGCTGCCAGTTTCACACTTAAGAAGTGAAAATGAAAGTTACCATGCTGTATTGAATTCTATGTCTGCATCCTATATGTCTACAAACGCTCTATTCCCCATAGCATCCGCATCAAGCAATAAGCAGTAAATGGCAATTTAATTTTTTTTAACAGGCCAGTAGGACCAGACAATAATGCTCTAAGAATGCAGCATTGAAAGTTAAAGATAGTGCTGGGACATAATATAAATGAAGATAAACTGAAAATACTTTGTACATTGATTGTTTTTTTTACAGCTTATCAACCCTTTTAGAATATTTTAAGCCAGAAAATATTTTTTAATTGTAAGTATTTTTTCTGCAATTAATAATGATTTACTGATACAAGTCATACTATTTAATCTATAGATAGAGAGAGAATTTGTATTCATAATTTTGTCAATGGTTTTTGTGCGTAAGTAAATATAAAGAACCCAATTGGAATTGGAACTCCGCTCTCCAATTTCCACTTCCGAGCCGTTAGCCATTACACCACAGCCACATTGAAACGTTCAGCACCTGGCATCTCCACTCCGTACGCAAGAACACGCACAGCAGCTAACATTAACATTATCTTAACTTCCCCACTTTCCACAAAAGCACACACACACGCGCACTTAACAAACAGTTTTTAATCGTAAGTACGCGATACAAGACACTCTGACAGCAAATTAATGAATAAAAGTGGATTATCTCTTCAGAGTTTTATCGCTCGAGAGATCTTGACGATACCGAAAAACGTTCCAAGACAAAGACACAATTTCTAAAATAATTATCAGAGTGAATCTGAAAATAACTCTCCAAATATTGTTGTCGGCAAATTTTTCGTCTCGTCTATCGCTAACAGAGGGAAAGATGACAAAAGACGTCGATGAAGACAATGGCCAAATATTAAAGAAATCACATCCATGTATTCTGAATGGGTAAGCACACATACGTATGTGTGTGTATGGACTAACGCTCTTCTTTGTCATTTGAACGGCTTGATTATTAACATTTGGAACTATATTTTAGCATATATATATATATATATATATATATATATATATATATATATATATATATATATATATATATATATAATATATAATAGAGAACCGGTAACGCAGTCTACATATCTTTCAGGTTATCGAATCGATTGATCAGTTTCGTCTTAGACAATTTTACACCTCCGGAATCTACCTTACACTTTCATAAATCAGCCATCTATCTATGAATTCAATATTTAGTGTGGTGCTTCTGCTATTAATCACCATACCTGGTGTAACAGCAAAATTGTCCAAATCGTGTAACAGCAAGATTGTCCAATAGTTAAATTAAGCTCTGAACCGTTGTATCTTAGAAATAATTAAAGCTATCTTGCTGAAATTCTCCGTGGTTTTTATAACACTTTTGGACTCTACTTTGAACAATAATAATGTATTTAGCTCTAAGTTGAAATGATGGCCCCTCTTTCTGTTGTTTTCGTCTCTACTGTTCCTTCTTAATCACCGTTCTCTTGATGGTCCTTGAATGGACTTTGAAGAGGGAAGTCAGAGTAGGAATGCTCGTACCGTTACGGAAGGCTTGAATGATCTTTTTCCTCTCTCCATTGCTCAATTGAGAAGATATAGCGGCTGACACAAAACGATTTTGACCTGTTCTCTTTCTAGCTGAATAACTCGAAAGGGTTTTCAGTGATTCTTACAACAAATCATGTCAATATAGCTAAACTTCTTATCTGAAAACCTGGCAAAAATCAATAAGTATATTTCATCTTTTTTTTTTTTGATATCAAACATTTTGTGGGATAGATAATTATCCCATGTTGTTACATAATTTAGACAATTTTGTTTGTTTCACCTGGTATATAGAGATTTTTGACAAAATCCAAAGACGAATCTGCAATGTTATTGGTCCTGAATAGACATATCGGCTTTAACCGCCTTGTGATTTTTCTATTAATATTTTCATGGCAAATTTTCTGATGAGGTTTCCTCTTTGATACCTGGACAAAGAATTTAGTGACACTACTAGATTGGCAGCTAGGTCTCAGCATTTTACTGTTGAAATTGCAAGATTTAATCGTAAGTTCTATTCTAGTATTTTCGCACTTTTTTGCCTGTCATCGCCGATCTTCAAAAATTTAAATGTAACGCCAATCGTCATCTTCTGTCTTAAATTGTTATTTTAATGCTGTTTCTACTCAATAACGTTTTCTCAATTTCTTTCATGTACTCCCATACGTCTTAGTAACTTTATCGCCTTCCTTGGGATGAAATATAGCTTGACAATCTATCAGATGAGACATTATACTGCGCCTCATGAACAGGCATTTTTTTGTGGTGGGTATTCAATCCGACAGGAGATAATATTTTTAAAAGGCCAATTTTTTTAGGTTGACGGCCTCATCGTGTTGAAAACACCTGTTCTCGTACGACCACTGAAGTTAAGTCAACGTTGAGCCTTGTCAGTACCTAGAGGAGTGACCGTTTGTGAATATCAGGTGCTGTAAGTTTGGGTGTACTGGTGGTATAATAGACAGTGGCTCGGAATTGTTTAATGGAGAGCCGAGTTTTAATTCTGGTTGGGTTCGTTATCTTATTACTATATAAAACTCTGTGATCTTTGCATCTTGTGTGTTTGCCAGATGTCGTATATAGAGAGTTGGGAAAAGAAAGATGTAAACAAGTCATATGTAGAGAGTTGGGAAAAGAAAGATGTAAATTTATTGTCGTGTAGGAAGTAGGGGGTGAAGCCGATTTTCTTACGAGAAAGTATATAAAAGAGACGAAATCCGGCCCCAAATAGAATACGCAGAGCTGTCATCAAGTTCCACGCCACTCTTGGTTGTGAACTTCACGACCTCATGCTAAAAGCGAGAACGCAGACAAACTTCAAAGAGACCGCTTCAGACTACGGCAACACCGTCCACAGTAAGAAACAAATTCACTTGAATCCTCATACGTGTTGACTTTTTCATACAAAACACATAAAACAACATTTCATTGTTATTGTGGGGCTCGCCCCTTGTACACAAGATGGACACGTCCAAAGTATACTTATACTACGGAGAGATAGCGTGAGAAAAACGTCGGGACAGGGTGTTCACCCAGAGTTATGCGAGAGTCCAGAAAGAGAGATAATTACAGCTTCACTTACAGAGACTTATACATATACTTTTCTACTAACCCGCATTCCTGGACTACTAATCTTCATTTCAAGTTTGTATTCTTACGTTTAATACACATATTTTTCTATTTTAATTACTGGCGTTTTTTATTTATTTGTGCAGGATTCCATCCCCGGAATCCACAACAATTGTTTATCACATACGTACAGATAATTTATATACTATTTCAGCATTTTATTAACCCAAACAAAATCTATTACTTTCCAATCTATGAACAAGTGCTTGTATTCTTCTCGTTATATTAAATTAATGTTCATTTGTTGAAACTACGTTGTCTTTTCTACTGAATCGTTTGATTATTTTAACGGCTGAATTACGCGCAGCCCCGCAACAAAATTTTTTGTCATTGTATCAAATCCCAACACTCCGAATTTTGACATTCCAAGCTCTTAGTGTTCAAATTTCTTCAAACAGACATTTTTTTAATGTTGAAAGCAACTTCAATAACTGCAAATAAATGTATTTTTAAAATATCTCTACTTTCACAAAGTCTTCATGAAAATAAATGTAAACAGTAAACACAGGTGGTCTAGTATACACTTACAAGCCATGAACCCACCTCTTCTCCCTCAGCTATAGGTTAATTAGTAAGTCTTGTATCACTAAATCATTATTATCTCAGAAAAAATTCTAACAATCTAATAATATTTTCTTCCTTTAAATAACCTGGAAGAGGTTTATAAGCCTTAGAAAACAAATCAAATGATATTTATTGAGACATCCTGATTACGTGTTTCAACTGACAGTAAACGATCACTTATATGGATTTACAGATCCCAAAATGAGAGATGTACAATTGTACTGAAAGTCAGTATTAACAAATTGTATACCTTCTTGTGCTGAAGTCTTGTTAATTCCTTGTACTGTTCTTCCACTAATTGTTTATGAGGATGTGATTCTGTCGGGTCTTCGTGAAAATGGCATGGTCTGTTGTTTAGAGTCCTTCTTTTGAAATTTGGTAGTTAGACATACAAGATTATTTTCCTGTGTAAAGTCTTCAAGGAAGATTACGTTTTTTGTTAAAGGACACAGGTTATAAGAATTTGTGTGTCACTGTCACCAACCTGAGCATTTATATCCCCTCCAATAATCAGGAAATTATTGTTTGGGATTAGTCTGCCAAGAGAAGCGACGCATTGATAGAAATGTGTACTCTTGCATGCACACAACTGCACAGATGGCGAATACAGTACTGAGATCTATTATTCTACGACCTTTGGAAATTTAACGCAATACAACACGAATACAGTGAACTAACTGAACGAGTCAGGTGTTGTCACGTCATGTCCTATATATATTTAACGGTGCGGAACTGGCGATCATTCCCGTCAGGTAAGTTGTCGGACATCTGGCATAGCTTGTTGAGTACAACGTATATATGGAGGCGAGCATTATTCTGCTGAGAAAGGACATCACCTTCCTTTTACAGGATTATCAACATTCAACGTTCCCTCTTTTTCTTCTTCTTCTTCTGATTATGGCTCTCCACAACTGCCTGTCCTTTGCCTTTTTGCAATCTCTCCAAATACCTGTTCTACCAGCCATCGTTATATGTCCTGTGAGTGTCAAATTTTCTAAGTCGTCTTTCCTCGTTATATGCCCTAGAAATATCAACAATCTCTTTCTGCCAACACCAAAAGTTAAAAGATATAATACCATGATACCAAAATGAATCTACGCACGCAACACAAGCTATCAAGCATGAAAGATTTTTTCTCTCCAGAGCAACATAGATCGGGCTTGGATTCGCTCTGGGACATTTTTTCTCTCCAGGACAACGGAGATTCTTACTTCCTTGCTGACAACATCGAAGCACCGCCGATGCGTCACGTCTAACAGTTAACAGGAATATCCATCCAGCTTCTGGAAGTTCCATAATTATCTAGAAACGTTTTAATTAAAAAAATGGACCACCTGCGCGACTCCATGACATGACATCTACTGTATTCATTAATCACACCGAACTTTATCGCAGCATCCATCACAGTCTAAAACTCACAGACTTCACTATTTCTATTTCTATGGCTACCTCACTAGAAAGGCGAAGACTTTGCATTTTTTTCTAGAATTGTTCATGAAGACTTGAAAAGGGATAATTCTATTAAATGAACTACCAGGTCGACTGCGAGGAAAGTTAGTTCACTGTTTTGTGTCAGGCAATTCTTCTTGTCAGAATCCTTAATTGCACGTTTATAAATCTTCCACTTGTCCGTAGATTGCATATTGCTACCATACTTGGTCTGGTACCCTTGCGCTATATCTCTAGATCCACTACAAAATCCAAAGAATGACCTGCAATGGTATCGGTCCTGACCTGGCAACTCCACTCCAGTCACATTTCCACCACAATATTTTCATGGCAGTTTTTCTAATGAACTTTCATCCTTGGTATCTCAACCGCATGAATACACACACACACACACACACACACACACACACAAACACATATATATATATATATATATATATATATATATATATATATATATATGAGTAGAGCAGACCTAGTTAAACCTAGAGAGCCACTAGGGGGAAACATTGTTACAAAAGCTAGAATAACCAATCAAAAACCAAGTATAGAAAGATTCAAAAGCTTGACAACGAAATCATGTTATAATAACTATTCAGATATTTAAAATACGTGTAATATTAAAAATAATTTATACTAACCAATAATTATAAAATTATATGATAAAATTTAATATTAAAATTAAAGAATAAAAAAAACCTACCAAGGTTTCACCTAATCGGATCGTCAGGGAAGGCTGGCTTCCCTGACGATCCGCTTAGGTGAAACCTTGGTAGGTTTGTCTGGCTCTCTAGGTTTAATTAGGTCTGCTCTACTCACTGTATTGAGCACTTTATTTAGTTATTTTGCGTACTCGTATCGGTTTTTTTTTTCTTTGGGCTTTGGACTTGCATGCCGGACGATTTTTTTTATACCTTTTTCTCCATTTCCCTTTCCCTTGCAAATCAAGACACCGAAGGTTTTCCGAACGAGTATAGTTTCCTATACTTATAAGATTTCTATGAATATATATATATATATATATATATATATAGGCAGCAATCCTTCATTAAAAGGCAACAGACAAGGTACTGCGATTAAGCTTTTTATAGTTTTTTTTTCTTTTCTGGATACAGACTGTGTATAAACTGTCCAAATTTTCTGTAATTCCGAGAGCTTTCGGTTATACTTTTAGCCATTATCAAGGATAATTTTATTTTTACTTTGAAACTGGATGTATGGGTTGTGTGGATGTATCTAGAGTTATGGAGATGTTTTATGTCAGTACATTGTGGCCGTGTTTATAGTTAATATTACTGAGTGTTTGCTTTTTCTTTTTTATTATTAAGGCTTCCATTATTTTTCTTTTTTTTACATGTGGCTGAACTTATTACGCTTGTATTTTCTACTAGTATATTTCGGATTGAGTAACGGTAGGTTTGTTGGTGTGTTTAAATGAGTTCTAATGGAGCTGTGGTCGGATAGGTGTAACGTAAATCATCTGGATAGGCATGTAGTAGTGTGACCGATGTAATTATGTAAGAGTTTGGTTTTATATATAGAACTTTTACGATATGTTGGTCTTACAAGTTAACTCTACAGAACCTCTTCTATGTAACTTGTTCAAGGGATCTCGTTAATATTCAGGCATCAGATTCCATAATAAATAATAAGTTTTTTTTTTTAGAGTCTGATCTTCATCAATTTGAGAGCTATTTTCCAGGTACGTTGGAGGCCAAGACCTTATTACGGAAGCGGACGTAATCTTTTGGTTCATCATCAGTAGAAGTCATGGTTTATTTTTTTTCATTTAGCTTATGCATATATATATATATATATATATATATATATAGCTTTGGTCGCTGTTCCAGACAGAATCAATCAATATGTATATATGCTCATATCAGGTTATTCAATTTTCCATCTTGATTTTAAAACTATAAAATACTTCAATTAAAGATACTGATTCCATTATATAGATTTCAATTTCTGGAATCCCTGCAAACAAGATGGCGTTTTTATATCGTTTCCGCAAAAAGAGGCTGAATTTTTTTTTTGGTGGTGGGGGGGATAAACTCCCCATAAAGTTCCCATAACATTGCTATCTAACGTTTCAAATACGTTTTAAGGTTACATTAACCTCAAAATTGATAATAAATTCCAGGTAGGTATCAGGAGGTGGTTTTATCATCTGAATTTGTGATTCTCAATTTTAAAAAAATACGGAAAACAATTTTTATAACTTTTATACATATTGTTAAGTGAAGAAAAAGTATTTTGATATTATTTGACCAATCCAGAATTTTTCAGATAC